ATACCATTTTATATCCGAAACAATAGTGTTACACAAGAAAAAGTGGAAAAAAAAACTTTTCTGGTTATCTCGTCGTCCCCCTCCACAACAGGATGTGCTGTGGCTCGCGCTCCCCAAGCACTAGCTGGTACACTGGTCCTGAAATTCAGATTGATCCAAAAAAGGGTCGACCGAGTGTGTTTCCGAAGAGTCAACTGTACATAAGAGCAAGGAGAATGTACAATAATAAATCTGCAGCGGTCAACGGGAACCGGACCTTCCGTTTCCGGTGTGACCGAAGCTCGGGAAAGAGGACAAGGAGCCGAAAGTATTAAAAAAAAAAAATGTATAGATATATATATATAATAAAATAAAGTTTTTAACGCAAGAACTTTTATCGCAAATGGCGTTTATTTTACGACCCACAGACTTATCGTGCGCGTGAATAGGGAACCCAAACATCTATCGTTCCATCCTTTTAAAGCGTTCTATGCCACAGGAAGTCCGGATTGACTGATTTTTGGCACTAAACCAAATGCTCGATGTGACTCATTCTCTCAATTTTTAATAAGTTCAGAAGCTATTTTATATTTTTTTCGGTCAGTTTGTGCTCGAATACCAACGTTTATCAACTAATCTGTGTACTCAGCTGTGGTCAAGTTGAATAATACATATTATTTAATCTGGGCATAAAACATAATATTCTTTTTTTATAGGTTATCATAACGTAGTGATATTTATGCATATCATTAAAATTAGACTGATGTATTGTCATAATATTATTATACATAAAATAAATTGTTTTATTTTTTTTTTAAATTTAATATCGTTGAATTAATATTCATAATATAATAATACTATAATAGCAACATACAACATATTATTCCGATGTACTTATATATTTGAAATATATATCTCGTTTACGGATTAAATATACCTAACGTAATTAACCCGATATTTCAGTATTTTACTGGTCACGAGATATTTAATATCCTAAGCTCCGAGAGAATATAAGAACACTTTTAGCGTAAGCAACGGGTGCACGGGGCAGCGGGTCGACCGTGTCTGTCAAAATCTGTCAGATCGTAATGTGCAGTTTCCCAGGCTAAGGCGACGGCCGGTTTATGCAATACTTTGTCAGGCTCGTGTATTATCTTAATCGCATGAAATTGAGCCAACTGGAATGAAACCCGAAGAGAAAACGGTGAAAATACCCCTTTTTTGGTACAGCGGTATGGGGGTTAAGACAAAGAGCGCAGTGGAAATAAACCAAGCTATAAAAACCTCGATGTGTTTACTTGAATGGCCGTTAATATTATCTCAAATGCCACTAAAATTCTCAAAGTCGTAACATTAAAAATAAGGACAACAAACAAATAACTATCTACTTTATGGACCACATAAAATAATAATAAGGTCCTAAATTCGTACCATTTTTCTAGCAATATTATATAATACGAGTCTTTATTGGGCATCATGGCGAGCAAAAAATAAATAGAATCGATGGTGTTCCGTCGATTATTATTGGACATTTTTATGCGTCGATCATTTCGATCAGTCCTATGCAATTTTTACCATTTAAACTATACCCCATAATTTCAAGGTCTCATAATGTATTCTACTATCATGGGAAATGAAATATCATTTTTATCAAAATAATAACGCATACCTAATCGTGTTTGTTATGGACTTTTAATTGGGAATAATTATTACGCCACCGTAGAAAGCTAGCGACCGAGCATTCATAAATTCAAGTGTCAATTAATGTTATGTAAACACTGTTTACTTGTCATTTGGAGAAAAACCAAGTCACGCGATCGCAAATTAGGCACAAATGTCGAGGAGGCTCGAGATCTAAACAGGCGCAACGTTTTCACCGGCTTGCTTGCACATTATAACACAGTCGCCGGAGGACGGAATGAAAACGATCGACTGATTCGCGTGTAAAAAATGAATATTATCCACGGCGATAAAAAATATACATTCAAGTCCGTGGTTAGGAGGAGATTCATTAGCATGTATATTATAACAGCAGTATCCTGTGCTGCACTATATTATTTATACAAACATTTCACAATTAAATTATGTAATATCTGATTTGTTGGTGTAGTGTTCTAGACGGCATAGCACTATAATATCGAAGAAATCGTGTTCCGACCACATTATCGTAACGTTACGTTTTGCTCGACGTATACTCATTAATCCCTACGCACATATACCTATACATAAGGGGTAAATGGGTAATTAATAAACGTTTGGCCATATTTTTACTACAGCAAGGACTACATTCTAGTTTAAAATATTGCGTTATAATGAAATTTCTACCGGAGGTGGCAAGTATTTCGACGGTAAATGGCCAAAAGATAAAACATTAGTAAGTACCTATAATCACTCAGCAACATTGTTCGAACCATCCGCATACCTTTATATTTCAGAGTACGGTACAATATTATTATCATTATTACACTAAAGAGAATTATTATTATTTTGTTATTATACGGAACGCGTTCTGACGTGAAATAAAAAAGTGGAGCGGGAAGTATAATATGTAAATTTTCTTGCACGGTAAATCGTTCGAATTGTTGGCGTAAGTGATTTTTTTTTTTATACATTTTACCGGGGTTGACTGTTTTTTTATATTTGATCACGAATCGCTATATTGGTGGTGTCACATAATATTATACATTTAGGGATGCCGACGTTGTTATTATTATTATTACTATTATTTTTTTTTTTTATGGAGGTACCTTACATAAAAACGGACTGTATAACGCAGAGGATAATGCGTATAGAAATATAATACACTACACGTCTACACATATTATGTTATGTTATACACATGAGCCTCCGGTAGATTAACGCCGCCGTCACCTTCACTATAGTGCTGCTACTACTTATGCGTGTAATAGCGACTTATTTTATCGACATAAATAATTATTAAAAACGTTCTCTGCGTAGGTATAATATAATATGCGCCTATATAATATACGAGCGCGGGCAGATCGATTTTCTTCGGTAATGAGATGCTTTGTAGGGGTTTTTCTTTATCGCGCCGCCGTGCGGATAGACGGGTTGGCGCGGGGTGCACCACGGTGAGCTGTCGTATACATTGTTAAAAATGCTAATGGCACATTTAGCCTTTGGCGACCTTTTCGTGTTGACATTTTTATTGCACGTCCGGGTTGTGCTTAAAAATAATAATAATAATAATAATAATAAAAAAGAAATAAACAAAACGAAAAAGAGGATTGGTGAGGTTAAAATATGCGATAAACGAGTAAAACGGCAAACGTTTAATTCGCTTCTTCTGTTTCCGCGTCATCGCCGGTGACCGGTGCTCCGGATAAGAGGGGGATTTTCGACGGTGGCCTCCTCCCAGCAAAAAGGAAACGCGAAATTATTATCGAAACGGAAACTGCGTGGCGCGTGCTAGGAAACCAATGACCCTGAGGTATAATCCGGTGTGCACACGCTGACACACACGCACATATATATAATAATAATATATTATACGATATTATATACGACGACAAACGGCGGAGGTGGCATCGGCGGTGGCGGGTAGTAAAGTCGTAACAGATGTCCTACTCCACCCCCTTTCCCCGCAGCACCCCCCATCGGACGCCGCTCAGCCACCGCCACGACTGTACGACGTCGCGGCACACCGGGAATAATATTTCAGTTTCCTGCGGTAACGTCACGTATCGTTAAGCAAACGCGCGAGACTGCTGCAGCGTTCGTATCCGTGCGATCCAATAGGGAATTCAGATTATTGAAATTTTCGCTTTGGACGAAATAAAAATGAAAGACAAGAACAAACACGAACGCGCGCATAAAATGGATTTTTTTTCCGAAATTACGCTCGGCTGTCTTGTCGCAGGGGTTGGATGATGGTGCGGGCGGTGCAGTGGCGAGGAAGAGCGTGGCATATTCTCCGTGTTTATATAATATAATATTATATACCACGACAGTAATAATAATAATATTATGATATGATATAGTTGCGCTGATGACGTAGAAAACGGAAATCGTACAAGAAAATATTGAACCCGACCTATGCACGTATGCACTGTGTCGAATAATCGAATTATACGACGACGACGACGACGACGACTTACGAAAAAACACGTATTGCATATTATTATTATTATTATTCGCTGACGACGATAATCGTTCAACGCGAAACGGATTTAAAAAACGTTCGTTAAACGGGTGTATAATGAATTACTGCCGTCCTATTCATTCATGAATTATGTTCGAAAAACAGAAAAACGAAGGCGTAACTGCAATTAATCATATCGGCGGTACGAAATGCATAGGTACACGTACTATTATTGTTATACGCATATTATATTATTACAACTACTATTAATTTATATAATTTTAATTTTATGAGCTGCGACGTGATATGTACATGACGTCATCGCGCGAAAAAAAATGACAAATAATTTAATAAATCAAACCGAATATTTTATTCATAGCGTGTAGTGCAATTTCCAAAGAAAATAAATGTTAAAAACGAGAATTAATGTGGTAACAAAAAAAAAAATGTATTTTATTCGATGGCAGAGAGCACGCATTTTTATTACATACGCCGACAACACTTTAGAGTAATATAAAATTATGTGCGAGGTGTATGTGTGACTTTTACTAATATTTAGGCAATATATAATGATATAACGTAGAAATTGTGTTTGTGTGACGTAGCCATAAAGCTTATAAATACAAACGGGTAACTCAACAACAATGTAATGTACCTAACCTTACTTTTGACCTTATATATAGTTTTGTATTTAAAAATTAAAAAAGACGTCTCATTAAGTATTATTTAATATTCTGGACCTGTTGAGCGGTATTTCATGAGGTGAAAAAAAAATGTATTTTCCTACGACGCCGAGTCCTGTATACACTTCTTAACATTACATATATATATACCTGCCACTTGAAAAAAATGGCCGGTCAATGGCGTTCGGGGGTGAAAAATAGGAGCAACGCGTGTGAGAATGACAAATGAAACTTACATGGCACCGACGTATAATGTGTCACGATTTTCATCCAAGTGAAAAGTCCTGTAGTACATTCGGCCGCAGGACAACTCTCGCACGTGATCTGTAACAGACAAACAAACGACCGTAAATTTATGCCCACACTGATGAGGAGATTAAGGCACGTTCTTCTCCGAGGTGGCCCAGGAGAGACGTATATATATAGGTAGGTACAACAATACAATTACATTAGGTATTGCGTTTCTAAATGTTAAACAACCGTCATGTGCATAGTGTTAAGACCGAAATAGTCTGTCGCATTATGCAAATTGTAGATCAACTACGTTGGTATTAATTTATTAATTTTTCAATTGTTTCGTTTTTTTTTTTTTTTAAAAAGCTTCGACAAAAATGTTTTTGCATAAAGAAATATTAATTTTTCGTTAAATTTGAGAGCCACTAACAACGTGTTTATAAATCGTTATCCACTATATAATGGAGGGCTGTTCTCAATAAGAAAACTAAAAACTATTAAAGTGTCAGAGACATATAACCGTTGTATCATATGAAATGTACGAATGATTTCTGGATACTATACTCTACCTGAAAATAATGTAAAATTACCTGTGAAAAAACATAATACAGGCACTTGTGTTCAATAAAAAAATTGTTCCATAACAATCATAGGGTTTCAGTGTTTTCCAGTTGATTTATGTTTTTTAATGTTTAATTTGAATTGTTGTTTTTACGAAGAAACTGCGACTATCGACAAAAGCGTTCGTCGAATTGCATTTTCGAAAACTTTTTCCTCGCGCGTATCGCACTTTTTTGGTACACAAGAACGTCATCGTTCGGCCACCGAAAACAATGATCGTATAACGAATTAATTCGATGTACAAGGAAATGCCATGTTTAAACGAAAACATCGTCTCATAATTATTGAATGAAACGTACGTTTTCAAAGGGTTATGGCTGTAACGTTCCTGTAGGCCATCGGACCCTGAGAGATTTTTTGTTTGTTTTCGCAGCAGGTTACACGCGGTGTAAGTTATTAGCGGCTGCGTGTTCAGACCCCTGCCGGAAACAAACTTTGGTCGTGCGAAGCGCAACGGCCCGAACTCGAACGATAAAAACTTGTTCCCACTCCACCGAAAGTTTAAAATTTACTGTGCGCACACACACACCCACGCACACACACACACACACACACACACGCGAGCGCACACTAAATGTATATACCTTGTATACGTGCATATATATATATGTATACAGTGCGTACACGGTGCGAGCCTGCAGTGATCATTAGTTTGAATATAAACAAGATAAAAAACGTTTCGTCGGACTACATAATATGCAAGAACGAAAAAACACTGAAAAATTAAACTCACACACGCATGAATTTTGCACGGTTTAAATTGGTTTCGTCGATTAATTTATGATTGAGAAGGTTCCCGAAAAGTTCTCTCCCTTTGCCGCGTTAAATTAGTGCCGAACACGTCTGAATATATTAAAGAAGGTTGGGCCGTGCGGTGGAGGGTACGTAACGGTCCCCGGGGCGCAGTAACGCCTTCAATTATTATTATTATTATTATTATTATTATTATTATTATTATACGCGCACGGGCCTGCCTAGCTCCGACGCAAGACGTCCCAAACGTATGTCGCAAAAATACAAAGAGAAGAAAAAAAAAATAAATAACAAACAATAACGATTTATCATACGCGAGTGTGCACCTCGTTATTATTATAGTGTGCTTGGCAACACCCGGTAATATCGAGAGGGTAATCATATATATTTCCAGTGCGGTTTTAGCCGTCTGTTTAAGCGGTATAATATTTTATTTTCAATTTCGCGGAATATTGAATAAGTTTTATGGCTAGCCCGGGCGTGCGCGAGTATACAATAACACAATATAATAATATTATGATACACATAGTTGAACGTAAACAAACTGTACTGCGGGGTCGAAAATATTATTCGGTATGCGCTGGCAGTGCGGTCGGGTGTAGAGATGAGACTGTACCGTAATTATTGCACAAATGTTTCACGGCGATTAAAATGCCGTTAGAGAGATAATATATAAATTTCACTACCGAAATAATACTGCGCTATAATAGGTGTGCCGGCATGTTCTACGAATTATTATATCGGTGTAGATAATAACGATTATAGTAATATTACTCTTTACAAAAGCCGTAATATCGTAATTATATGCAAAAATTATTTTTTACTCGTTTATCAGACAAATACAAAGGTGGCCATAAAAGCACTGCGTGGCGACTAAAGTATAGCTATGACACATGATTATTATAACCTATACATCCAAAAGACATGCCAAACATTGCTGTCGTTTTGAATGTTTTTTTATAAAATTACTATTTTGATTTTAAACGCAGATACATCGTTTTAATAGTATGATGTAAAGCAAGAAAACAAGGACGCGTAGTCGTTATACGCACATCAAATACGACAAACTAAAAATATACAATATTTATAAGGGCGACAACGTTTGGCGCCGCTGCTGAGATAAAAAATATCACACGGATACCCGATATTATAATTTTCTACGATGTACCAGCTGTTGTCGGTCGCTACAAACATGCATTACGAGTGTAAAGGAATTGTTTGAATTGAATATATGTTTAGTGAACAAGTTATATTATAGTGTGTGGTAGTTGTAGTCTTAAGCGAATCCGGCAGTGTTTGCTAGACACTCGAGCACATAAATTAAGTATTTATATTTATTAAAGGAAGTGCGTAGTGTATTTTAAAGTCAGTCTTGTAAAACGTGCATTTATATTCTTAAATAATTCTCTTGAAAAATGGGTTCGTTCAAAAAGTTGTTAGTTAAACTTTTCGAACAAAAATCCATCAAATTCTATGCGTCAGAAACATTTCTAATTACACGGTTGGGAAGGACCGAGTTCCGTCCTTCGTTTGTACATCACTCACATCAAACACAAATTTAAAACGTAAATAGTTGAACAACTAAAATAGACGGATGTTAAATGGTTATTAAAAAAAAAAAACAATAACGACAAAAATAACAATAAATGAATACAAATACTCGTAGGTACATACATAGAGTATAGTCGGAACAAACTTTTCGTGCGAAAAATATGTCCGATCAGAGTCCCCGGGAAAAAAAAATAGTAACAATGATATTATCACGATTCACGACTTGTGCAGCAACCGTCGTTTCTGAGACAACAACAACAATAATATACAAATACCACGTGCCCATTAAGCAAATAATATCGAGTTGGCGTAGATCAGTTTTGTGTTGATATAATATTACGGAGTATAATACCTGCCCCTCGCGGAGAAGTCGTCGCGCCACAAATCACATACCCACCTGCGTGCACTCGGATTCAAATGATTAAAATACAATTCCGTGTCGCCCCAAACCAGGAGACGCGCTTTATTGTCGCCCACCACTGCAATATTATCGACGCTGTGCGTTCTCCTCGTCCACGCTGTACTTGCTCATACATAATAATAATAATAATAATAATAATATCGTACAGACATAGCCGTAAGACCCGCGAGCGCGACGTACGCGTAAAGTCATTCACTAAAGGGATTCTGACGGAAACGTGTCGAGGGAGCTCAATATTTTGCGTGTCATCTTATTTACATCCTCGGAAAGTTTTCCATTTTCCGTAAACTCGATCGTTCTGCAACCCGCCTAGCAGTGTTGGGGTGGGGGGGGGGGACGATAGAAATAACGCTCTATTGAATGTTGTTCTTTATTTCTTTTTCCACCACGGACATATTTTCCTTCTTTCTATATTCCGCATTCACCCCACTCCACCCCTCACGCGCATGTCAATGTTTTAAGATATTGGGTTGAAGCATAGACGGACGTGTGTATGCGACGACGTGAGGCAATTTCAAAGGCCAGAGGTGGTCTTAGCGGGAAACCGAACAAATGGCAAAATATGTTCGTTCCCGGGTTTTTTTTTTGTTTTTTTTTTTGTTTTGTCACCCCAATCACTGATGATGAACTTCTTTTTACGTGCGTTTTCGTTGTGACCGTCGCGTTAAACATTTTCGGAAAATCGTTCGATTCAATCAAGTAATAGTCGGTGTGGTTCGAAGATGGAATAACACGTCGGGAGATATGATTATATGTACGACGGCAGTCCTAACCAATCAATACTTTTTGTGCGCGCCGTTCGGCTAGGTTGTCTTTTGTAACCGAATAAAAATGCTGGGTTTAAAACCCTAAACCCGGGGGAGGCTGATCTTCAACGACATCAATCGTTACGACGTCAAAAACGTTATGAAAGGGGATGAGAAAAAGTAGGAGCGAATAAAAGTTTTTGAAAGACGTGACTTACGCTGAGGTATTTTAAATTGACAAAATCCACATGCCCGTGCGATCCGATAGTATTTTGTTATTAATAATTTTAAACAAGTTATCTAATTCGCACGTACTCTGTGATTTATTTACAAAAGTGAATCAACGACTAGAGGTACAAAAAAAGAAATGAAACTTTAAAAAATACTTATTTATTGCAAAACGCGTGTTAAATCCTGTCACGAACCACAGAATTAAATGAATAATATACAATTGGGACTTAAAACACGTTTATTAGGAATTAGCACATTTCACAAACTAGTGTGACTGTTTGGATTAAATCGCTTTCAAAGTTCGCGACTTCGTACAACTGAGTTGAAGTACTCATCACCTTTATTTTTCTGCGATTTTAAGTGACGTGTGAGATGTTCAAAGGAAATAAGTGAACATTTATAATTTTAACCAGACCGGCAAAGTGTTGTTTGTTATATGTACGGCCATTTTTATACTTAAGTATTTTCAGACTGTTAATTAGCCAGAGATTTTCAAATTCATTACGATATAATTCAGTCGAAACTCATATGCATACGGCTTTTGTTGTTGTGTGTGACCAGTGACGCATATAACTATTAAAGTAAAAAAAAAAAACTGAATTTTGTTTTTTAATAAAAAAATTCTAAGTTAAAACGTCAACATCACCGGTTTTTTTACGGCTTTGTGAATCCATTTTCTAGAGGCAGCTGAACTTTTTCCCCAGCATATCTGACAACCACAGCCGCCATGAAAGCATTTTTTGTTTATATATATAAGATACACTGTC